GGGCTGGGCTGGGGCTGGGCTGGGCTGGGGCTGGCCTGGGCCTGGGGCTTCTGCATAGGCCATCCACAGGGCTGCCTTCCTGCGCCGGTTCCCGGTAGGGACGCCCACTTCCCTGACACAGACTGCTTTACCAGATTGCACTTTTGGTGCATTGCCACGTCGTCCAGATTCCATGTTCCACCTGCAGGGCTGGACTCCTATGAGCTGCTTCGGCTCCAGCTGCTCCCCGACGCCGGGCTTCGCCGGTGAGCGGGCAGAATTCCGGAGGCTGCCCCACCCAGTCTGCCTGCTCCTCTGCAGTGAGTTGAGCCACGCTCAGCTTGACTTTAGCAAGTGTCTGTGCGTGTCCTCTTGCGCAATATTAACCTAAAGGTCAAGGTGGGGACACAAGACCAGACCAATACAGAATATTTCATATACGTGGCTCTAAAACATAACACTATTTAAAAGATATTTTGAAAATGAAACATCTCGCAATTACCACACAACATATTTTAAAAGGCTTAACGTGCCCAAACATCCTGTGCTCGGGAGCCTCTCCCCTCCCTCTCCCCCTGTGGACCAGTAGATAATATTTCGAATGCATTTTTGGTTGTCTTAACAGCCTCAAATGACCTTTCTTTCAGCTGAAACAATTGAAGCCAAAAATCCAAAATAGAAACCAGGTAGGAAGTAATGTTTAACCTTAACTTGTTAGTCAAGTAAACACCTTTGGGAGAGTCTGCCTGTGCCTGCCAGCAACTGGGCTATATCTCGGGTTCCCTCATAAAACTGTCAGGAGGTCATCTATTCCGAAGTCAAAGTCTATCAAGCCAGCCACCGCCGAAGGCCAGCTCCGAGCATTACTCAACAGGAAAGGGGTGAGCTGGAGAGCGCAACGACTTCCTCCATAGCTCCTGCTCAGTGAGAGTCATCACAAGCTGGTGCTTTTGGAAAAAGGAATTCATTTAAATCCTGCTTATGAAAGAAAATGCCCTCTGTTAAGTAAGGACAGACATTAGTCTGGCAAATCATTGAAGAGCCCAGGTCCAGGCTGGGACTGTCACTACCAACTTTTTTTTTTTTTTTTTTAAACCCAGAAAAGATCATTTAAGTCAAGAGTACCAGTGGGAAATCCACAGAACAGTCTCCCTCTTAACTCCTGCGTTTTATAAGCACACCACTTCCTCATTTCCAACCCCATCTACTAGGATATTACAGCTCTGGGAAATCCAAGGGTTTTCTTGGAAAATCTCGAGTCTAAACATCAACCGGCTAGGACATTGTTTGGTTGAAAATGTCCAATTAGTTAATACCCCCAATTGGTCTTTCCACAGGGCTCACATATGTACTGGCTTTGGG